TATATATATATATATATATATATATATATATGAGAAATATGAAGAACCTTGGTACCAAGTTTCTCCATTGAACTTAGTAGTGAGATGGCCAAATCTCACCCCTACATCACGCCTCGAATAGAGAGCCTCAATCACTATTTACCTACTCCAAAAAAGTGGCTCCATCTTCGAGGCATGATGTAGGGGTGAGGTTACCTCACTACTAAGTTCAATGAAAGAACTTGGTACCAAGGTTCTCCATATTTCTCTCTCTCTCTCTCTATATATATATATATGTGTGTGTGTGTGTACATACATACATACATATATATATGTATATGTACATATATATACTTAGATGTATATACGTATGTACATACACACACATATATATGTATACACAACTTAAGGGACATTGTATTTCACGCTCTTTCTTCTCTATCTTGAATGAAATGAAGTGATATTCCATCAGTACACATACATACATATATATACATATCTACACATAGATGTATATACATATATATGTATGTACATATATATACTTAGATGTATATACATATATATGTATGTTCATACACACACATATATATATGTATACACAACTTAAGGGACATTGTATTTCATGCTCTTTCTTCTCTATCTTGAATGAAATGAAGTGATATTCCATCAGCACACATACATACATATATATACATACATACATATGTATATATACATATATACACATAGATGTATATACATATATATGTATGTACATATATATGCGTGTGTGTATATAATTTTTGGTTCCTTATGATGCTTTATTGACAAAAACAATTGTTTGCAAAAAATTTGCGGAAAGTATGTATTTGAATCACGTAAAAGCAACTTATGATTTTATTACTATTTTATTCATGAGTGGAGCCATGACTGTGCCCAACTTGAAATTTGAGGAGTTACAAGTACATGATATGTGCCGTATTATAAAATTTTCTATTTACCAAACTTTAGTATACGTTAAAAGGGTACTACTACTGGGGTAGTATCTGTTTGAATTCAATCATACATTATTTTTCTAACACACCTTAGATGATGGTGTGTGGTTTAACTAAATAATAACCGCTAATTTCAGAAACCATTTGATGTGATGTTATCTATTTCAGTTCAATAATAATCATTCAATTTCTTTAGAAAAAACAAATAAAAGATTGATGTAGCCTGTGACCGATGATGAGCAATAAATTTTTGAAAGAAAAATTAAGGGGCCCCTTGTTATGCATTATGGTATAAAGCTGTAATATAATATGTTGTGGTTGCAGATATTTGCAGGATGTGTTTAAGGTGCCCCTTGTCATACAACTAACTGATGATGAAAAGTTCCTGTGGAAGAACCTTTCAGTGGAAGAGAGCCAACGACTAGCCCGTGAGAATGCAAAAGACATCATTGCTTGTGGTTTTGACATCACAAGGACGTTCATCTTCTCCGATTTTGATTATGTTGGTGGGTAAGTTGAGTTATTGAAGTTTTCTTTTGAAAAAAATCACTTGCATATGGAGGGGTAAATATGACATATGTATGAGTCTTGATGATTTACTCCATCTTTTGAAGATTTTGCTTGGACTATGTTTTAGATTTTTGTATATTACTTGTTTCCTACTGTTCAAAGCAATTTATCTTAACAGAGTAATGAGTGCAATATTTAGATACCAATTTCATGGGTTTCATGATCTTCTTAATGTTCGCACCTACTGTCCATATCGTGTAGGTATTTGGGATTCGAAGAGTTATAAGAAATGGCAGGACTCTCTAAAAATGCAAGTCTAGTTTTATGCCTTAAATAAATTTTCTATTCTGGATCTCTGGTTCTGTCTAGTTTTACATGTTGACATAAACAACTAAGGGTTGCCACTTATATAAAAGAAATAATTATCTGCTGGATCATTTGTGCGTCCTCGTGAGCATAATACAAGCATTTCCTGATTAGATAATTGGTTACTTATATGTGATTATATCATGCTTTATTGATTCAAGCATGCATACTGTTAAGTTCATCTCATGTCTTCTTGGTCGTTATGCATGTAAGAGTCACTCCTTGCTTTTGCTGCCAAGTAGAAGCGTGTCATCTAGTGTGCCCATGTGAACATGCACTCTCATTGTTTTTGTTGTTGACATTTTCTACTAACTATTCGAATTGTTGAGGTTATTGATTCAATTGTATGTGGTGCTAAAGCCTAAATCCTTTTGCATGCAAGATTGGGTCACTTGGTAGACTGTAGTTATGCCAATTGCTTCTTACATATCCATATTTTTAAAAAATCACAGCTTCTTTTTCCTCCATAACTTGCTCATGTTGACTTTACAGTGCATTCTACCAGAACATGGTCAGGGTAGCAAGATGTGTCACGTATAATCAGGTGACATCATAACTAGCTTTCTTACCAGTATTTTTACGCTTCATGTTTTCTTTTCACATTTTCACAAAACTGTGAGTCTCTCAGGTAGTTGGAATATTTGGCTTCAAGAAAGAAGATCATATTGGAAAAGTTAGCTTCCCACCTGTCCAGGTCTATTTCTGATCTTAACCCTTTTGAAGCAAGTAGATTAGCATAGATGTTTATTGTGGCTTTGTAGCCCTTTGCTGAAAACATACTTGATGCTGTTATACCTGATTTTATTAACTACAGGCTGTGCCATCATTTCCCACTTCCTTTCCACATCTCTTCAAGGGTAAAGACAATCTTCGTTGTTTGATACCTTGTGCCATTGATCAGGTTTGTACCAGATACCAATATAAAAGAAATGAGATTCTGGTTTCAATTACGATGCTGAATATATGTTACGTAAACTCCATGAGTTTATATGTTGTCTATTTTCATTATTTAGTGTATGATTATATCACGCTTGATTGTCCTTATATTTACTTCCATATGTCTCACTTCAGGATCCATACTTTAGAATGACAAGAGATGTTGCTCCCAGGATTGGTTATCAAAAGCCTGCATTGATTGAGTCATCATTCTTTCCTGCCCTCCAGGTATTTTTTTTAATTTATATATGAGAACTAAGATTTTTTCTAATTATATCATGTTAATTTAATCAAAAAGAATAAAAGCAGAAACAAGATGGCTATATGGTATTTTTTTTAAGAATAATACATAGAGGGTTTTGTCTTTAGACACAAAGGTTTACCATGATTTATGTTTAAACTCAATTACTTTTCATTGTATCTTTAGACCCAATCAACTTTATGTATTTATCTTTAAACACAAATTCTCTAATACATCTCATATTTATGTGGTCCCCCCTAAAATTTTTCAAAAAAATCCAATTTTACCCCACACTTTTTCTCATTTAATTCTCTCTCACCTCCTTTGCTCTCTTATTCCCTTCTCCAACTCTCATAAACTCATCAAATTCCTTAATGCCTAAGATTTAAATACTAAAGTTTAGCGAGGATTCATCTCTTTTTTGGTATTTTAAGGTATAAATTCTCCCAATTTCTCAACTCCTTATTTTGTAGCATAAATTCACATAAGCATTTGGGACAATTATAGCATTAATTTCTCATTTTTTTCATCACAATTTTTCACATGACTATTCATAATTCCTCATGATTGTTTATTACAATTAATAAGAGTTAATAATACTAAAAATAAAAATTTATTTAATTTCAAATGTTAGAGAGAAAGTTTTGAGGAGATGTGGGGGTATTTTGGGGGGTTTTACTTCCTAAAAGTACAAATATAATATATCTTAATTATGAATTATACTATATGGGCTTGAAGACAAAAAGAGAAAGTGATTAAGTTTAAAGGTACAAATAAAAATATTTAGGTTTAAACATAAATCAGGTTAAAACTTTGAACATAGATCAGGGTAAAACTTTGGCTCTAAAGACAAAAATTCCTGAACATATGGTTTTTTGTTTAATGAATGTTAAAGTAACAGTTCATCGAGTATTTTTTTTATTGGTCCAATCAAGTTTGATTCTTACCAATAAGGGTCTTGATATTTATTATGAGAATTGCTAGGTTTTATTAGTCTTCCTAAACTTCTAGCAAGAAGCAAGTATTCGTTTATATTTATTATGAGAATTGCTAGGTTTTATTAGTCTTCCTAAACTTCTAGCAAGAAGCAAGTATTCGTTTCCTCTTGATTTCCCCAAATCTGTAGCAATTTAGTCTTCCTAAACTTCTAGCAAGAAGCAAGTATTCGTTTCCTCTTGATTTCCCCAAATCTGTAGCAATGTGCTTCCTGTAGCTCTAATTTTCTCCAGACGCTAACCCAAACCCTAACCCTGACCCTGACCCTGACAGACATATCTAGGAGAATCCGTAATCATAGAATACGACCCTAATCAAAATGCATACATTTGTCTCATACACTATGGGGCAAATGTTCGGATCTATTATGACATAATGATTAGGTGCCTAATGGACCTTTGTTTGTGTTGTTTAGCTCATTTTTTTAACAAAACATTTTTGACTTCTTTGTTAACTTGCAGGGAGAAACAGGAAAAATGTCAGCCAGCGATCCAAATTCTGCAATATACGTGACATTTGTTAACTTGCAGGGAGAAACAGGAAAAATGTCAGCCAGCGATCCAAATTCTGCAATATACGTGACAGATTCTGCCAAGGAGATAAAAAATAAGGTGACTTGTGTGTTTGTTTGTAATTATGTATATGAACTATGAAGTAGGGTCTTAACAGAAACCACTGTTAAAAGTGGTTCCTGTAACAATCAAACCTTGGTCATATTTTATGGTGATTTTTTGCACCATTGTTCTTGTTTGAAGCTGAATCTATGTTTATGTTAGAGTTGATGATGAAATAATAGTAAATAATATTATTTCATATACTAATTGTTGGATTCCACTGAGTACAGATGAATTCCTATTGTAATTTTGTGTACAAATGAATTTCTGTCGCCCTGAGCTAACTTATTCTCTGTAGGTGAACCGGTATGCGTTCTCTGGTGGTCAAGATTCAATAGAGAAGCACAGAAAATATGGAGCGAACCTAGAGGTACTGCATTTTTCTTTTCCATTTAATCTCTAGTTGGTTGACCTCTTACTGTTTATTGCAACTTTGCACTTGTATGATACTGATACAAATAAGATTTATACTTGTTTTGCCTTTTCTAGGTAGATATCCCAGTCAAGTACCTTAGTTTCTTCCTTGAAGATGACAATGAGCTTAATTTTATAAAGGAGGTATTCATAATGACCTTTTTCTGTTTTATTTTTTTCAGCTACAAAGCTTCATTCAGTTATATAATGTGTTTTTGTTTCTGATTTATTTCAATTTGTAAGGAATATGGTGCTGGAAGAATGTTAACCGGTGAAGTGAAGAAGCGGCTTATCGATATTCTCTCAGATTTAGTCGAGCGCCATCGAAGGGCTCGAGCAGCAGTCACTGACGAGGTAGTACTACTACTACTGTCTCCTTCCACATTTGTGCGCGATATTGGCTGCCATCTCCATTGCTACCCCCTGCTTATGATTACTTTCTCAATTAAATCAATAGGAAAAATATAAGAAAAAGGTAATAATTGTAATCTGTCCCTAGTGTTACTTTACTTTAAGGGCTAATTGCATATAGACCCCTATAGTATTGGTGTTTTGCACTTAGTACGCCTGTAGTCTGATTGTTGCAGATAGACCTCCTGTGTTGGATTTTTGGACTCTTTTACACTCAACTCACTAATTTCACCTAGGGGCAATATCTACCCGGTGCATCCGCCGCAATGAAAAAAATTATGGAGGTAGTAAGTTCAAAACAGTGATACTACAGTGGGTCTATTTCCAATTAACTCTTTAAGTTCATTACTTCAGAGAAATGATAATGAATATTCATCTAAAGATAGCTTCTGAAGCTTAGTGCCCATCTAAATGTGACGTCTTCTGTTTTCAACGAAGAGGGTGCTTGTCAGTGAAAAAGGCGGTATTGGTTGAAGTATGAACATGTAATCATTTTCAACCAATATTGTAGAAACGTTAAGGAAATAAAAAATTTGGCAACTCCAAATTCAAACTATGAAATTGTGAATTCTAGTAGGCATGACATATGATGAAATGTACAAATTGCAAAAGACTAGCGCTAAACGTACTACACTTCTGATACTATTGTCATACTCCTGAAAGATTTAGGGGTAAATATCAAGGAAAATCCTTTTTTTTTAAACATCATTTTCATGTTCCTGCAGAAAGTTAGAAATTTGTTTTCTATGCAGATGGTTGATGCATTTATGGCTGTGAGGCCTCTTCCCTATATGTTCAGCTAGGCTGCAACTCTACGGCCGATGCGGCGATTTTCAGTTTGGATAGGAAAGACTCATTTTGTGGAACGTTAACTTATTACATCATTTCAATATATATATTATACTTCACATTAAATTTTGGGTTTGTTCACAGAAACCATCTTTAACACAGTTATTCTATAGAAATGGTCTTGATTTTCAATTTATACATAAATCATCTTTAAAAGGTTCTTGTTGTAATTAACCATTTGGGCCACTTTTCAGTTGATTTTTGGGCAATTAATTACACTTAAACCTTCCTTAAGGATTGTCTCGTATGCTTTGCATTTGACAACTATTATAGAAAAATTGAAATAACTTGACTTAAAGTGAGTCTGGATGCTTGATTGCAACAAAAAGTTATTTAAATGTGGTTCATGTATAAATTGACAATCGAAGGTGGTCTTTGTGTGGTGACCCTATTTTGAAGGTGGTTTCTAGGGGGGGCCTTAATATTTCTTTTTGGAAGCACGTTATGAGCCAAAAACTATTTTTTTTGGCTCAAACATGTGAGCACAATTACCTGCCACATAAGAAGCTACATCAGTATGTCGAAATTTTGCTCCGGTAAAAAAAAATGTCTTTCTGTTGTTGTGTCTCATTTTATATACATTACTGTCGACAAAGTAAGAAAATATAGTAAGTTGATACCCAGGGTCAATAAAATATACTAATCTAGTAATTTAGCCATTAGAATTAGGGATATGACAATAGAAATGTAGTCTGTAATCTTCGCTCAAATATACTAATCTAGTAATTTAGCCATTAGAATTAGGGATATGACAATAGAATTGTAGTCTGTAACCTTCGCCCAGTGCCCGCAAAAATAGATGTCACTTTTTGTTAGACTTCAGGGTTACCCGTGTTATTGTATTATTCTTACAGGCACTTGTGATCAATCCAGTAAGGGGATACGAAAATTACTTAAATTAGCAGAAGGAACATAGTATAAAAGATCAGACGCTATAAAAGATCAGACAACACATAAAGATACTGTCATTTATTTTGATAGGGGCATATGCTACATAGGTGCAACCCCTCTAAAGCTGCACACAACTAAAGAAATAGACGATTAATAGTTGGAACATGTAAACAGACCACTTTTAGTTCTATCTTTTTTAGTTGTGAGATTAGGAAAGGTTTTAATCGTAATATTTTTTGCTCAAGGATGGGGTTAATTTATGTTTTGTTTGTCAACATGCTGAGTAGGGCTGAGCACGGTTCGGTTCGGTTCGGTTTTTATCAAATTTTGAACAACCGAACCGAACCATCCATTATTCAAAACCGAACCGAACCATTGCAAGTCGGTTCGGTGGGGTTCGGTTCGGTTTGTTCGGTTCTAACTTCATCAAACAAACAAACGCATTCTCAATGAATTCCATGCATCTTTCTGTCACTGCAATTGAATAGGAATAGAGGAAGGCCAGGCTCGATATTTTTCACATGGAGGAAGTGTGAGGATGACAAACCTGACAAACGAATTTCAATCATCACAATGTTTATGTTAGAATGACACGGAGAAGTTGATATGAATCATGTAAGTAAGAATCCTAAATTAAAGCCATGCTGCATAGTTATAATTTAATGAAAGAAGGCAATTTAGTTCAACACTTCAACCCTTGTGCATATATCCTGCCTCGGTGGTGGATTTGGTACCCTGCAGAGATCTAACACCATTTGATCTGCACACGCGCAGACACAACACACACAGTGGGCAGTTTCTTCTACTTTAAAAAAACCGAAACACTTTCAGAGTAAAAGACAACTAACAAATATACAGAAGTTCATAACAACGAATTATGAAATAAAATTCAAGAAACAAACCAAATAATTGTTTCGAAAGACACTCTTGCATAGTGTTATTATTGCAGCCAAAGATTACTGCATGTAGCGAACTCTTGCTTAAGTTTTTTGAATCTGCATAAGCACTCCCATCCGTCTTTGCTTTCCGCCTCGTGCCCATCCTGTTAATTTCATTTTCATCAAAATGTAACAATCCACAGAAACCATCATCCTTTTTACATTTGCACTCAATTCACAGCCAGTGGAATTAAGTAACGATTTTTTACAATTTAATAAATAGAAATCATAAACAATGCAAATCTTTCCAACAAAATATCAGCAAAGAGCATCAAAAACCCTAAACCTTCAAAAATAATGCGAAAATGAGGACAAATTACTGTTTTGGGTTATAAATCAATTAAAAGCTCTAATCTGTTTTGGGTTTGTGGTTGTAAATGAGATTAAGTGGACAGCACAAAACTTCTCCCCATGTTCAGGGCATTAAATGTATGTTAGGTGAAAGAGGAACAAAGTTGGTAGGGGGATTAGAAGATTGTTATGTGTTAAATACTTGCTATTATAAAACTAGCATATATACTATCTTATATGCCGACCCTGTTCAGATCTGAAATTCATTGATATATCCTCTTTGATCTCATATTTTGTAGTGTTGTTGCTTTGAAAAATTCAAATCTGAACTTTGTTGGTGTTGTTGCTTCCAAAATCAAGGTAAAATTTATATTTTTTTAATTTTCAGATTATTAGGTTATTTTACAGCTATTTTTGTTACTGTAAATCTTAGACAGAGCTATGTTGAAGTTGTTGCTCGCAAATTTTTTAATTTTCAGATTATTAGTTTATTTGACAGCTATTTATTTTATTTTATTTTAATTTTCAGATTATTAGTTGCTTGCAAATTTTTTAATTTGATTAATTTTCTGATTATTAGATAGTATGAATATGTTGTGATTTTTTTGGTGAATTTAATGGATCTATTGGTGGATGTGTTGGCTCTTGATATTTGCAGTTGCCTAAAAATTTCGAAAGACAATTTTTTCATTTTAGGAGCTAAAAGTTCAAGTCTTTGATATTTTTAACTGTTATTTATGTTACTGTAATATTTTTTGCTTAGATATTGCAGTAATCCATGTTAGTAATTTGTAATTTGTATTTGTTCACACGTCACATGAATGTTCACACATCTTCAATATGCAATTTGTTCGATTTTTGAGTTAAGTAAAAATTGCCACAATGCACATAAAGAAACACAATTGCTACATAAGCAAGGTTACATGTCATATCTCTGAAAATATATCAGTTTGTAATCTTTGAAAATATATCAATTTATAATCTTGTTGGTTTGTCATTAATTTTTATAAATTGCAATTCATTCACGATTCTACTTAGTTTCTAACTGGATAATGATTTTTGCATCGTAGATGGATGGTGATGGGGATTGTTCCGATGAAAAAAATGTTGTTAATATGGTTCAAGGTGATGCACTATCCGTTTTTATTATAATAATGACAATCATAAGGAGAATGCAAGCTAGACGTAAATCAATTCATAGTGGTCCAAGTGAGGAAATAAAAGACAAGGGAGGGCTAGAATTGAACACATAGAGCGAATTTATAATGGTTTTAGTGATAGTTGCAAATTATACTAGAATGCGAAGTGGTGCTTTTGTTAAACTAGCGAGTATAATGAGGAACAATAACCTGCTAAAAGACTCAAGAAATGTAACAGTGGAAGAACAATTTATCATGACACTGAATATTTTGGATCATAAATCTAAAAATCGCATTATCAGGTCTTATTTTATCATGACACTTATCATCGGTTGACTGTCCAGTGTGACATTTCAAGTCCTGTAGTGTGCATGTTATCAGTTGACTGACCATTTCTATCAGTCGACCGACCAAATAATTTCCTGTTCCATGTCGTTTTCAACAATTCTTCACCTTTTTCAACAATATATTTTATAGTAATGATTATCACTCTTATAATAAAATTGGATGGTGATCCAAACTAAACTGCAACGTAGAAAGAAAGCCTTTCAGATTCACCTCATCTTCATTGTATCTTTCTTTCTTAAATTGTTCTTCAACACTTTGAAGCCCTAATTTTTCCCAGAATATAAAAAGAGGAGAGAGAGTAAGAGGGAAATGGTTGAGAGAGAAGAGAGAGAAAAGGCAGCCAGTTGAGAGAGAGAGAGAGAGAGAGAGAGAGACGAGGGAGCAATAGGGTGGGTTTATCTAACTCAAACTATACAAGTTATGGGTGGAATCTACGCCCACTTTTTTGTTTCTTCTTTTCTAAATGAGAGGGTATATAAGTTGCTACTTAATGGGATTTTGGGTTTGGACCTGGAGTTGTCCCATTAGATATAACTTGTAAATGGACTTATTTTTGTAGTGGGTTGAACTATTATGTTAATGCTGCTACATAGCTGGGAAAATTTTTTTGCTAGAGGGTGGTGTCACAAATTCCCATGTGCAGGGCTCATGACCATCATGCTGCAGGCCGCCTCTTTAATAAAAAGGAACAATGCTTCTACCTTTCAAAAGGAAAAAAAAAACAAATTCCTCACACCCTTAAGACTTGGTCAATAAGCCAAAAACTCCTTAAATCAACTTTATTTTTTGCTTCTAATACCTAACTTCGGTGCCACCTAAACAATACTTTTCAATTCCATATTGTACCGCTAAATAATGCCCATGTGAGGCTACTCTCTTTCTTTTCTCATCGTCATCCCCCTCCTCTCTTCTCTTTTCTCTCTCCTCACTCTATAGCCATTACCAACAATCTCTCATCATCTCACTACTCTATGGTCGTTACCAACAATCCCCCCTACCTCCTCTGACTTCATATCTATGTATTCCCTCCCTTATGTCCTCTCCCGACCATCCCTTCCTACTTTATCACCCCCCTCGTCTCCTCCGTCTGGGCCCACCACCCCTCACCACCATCAAATTCATCCCATAATTTCCTTTTTTCTCTCTGTTTTAATCTCCTTTGGGTCTGCCATCATACATCCACCTCCTATCTTCCGTCCCTTCCTCCTTCATCCTCTAACAACATCATACATCCGCCCATACCTCCCCTCACTTCCCTCCTTCTCCTTCGGCAACCCCTACCTTGGCTTCTTTAAGTCTACCATCATACATCCACCCTTATATCTCCTCTTCATTCCTTCCTCCTCTGACTTCAAATCTCTGCATCCCCTCCCCTACACCATCTCCCGTCCAACCCTTCTACCTCATCACCTTCCTCGTCTCCTCCGTCTGGGCCCACCAACCCTCACGACCCTCAAGCTTGTCTAATAATTTAAAATGTGTTAGAACTGCGGCTAGGAGGGCTATATGTTTTCAGCATGTAAAGCACA